TACGCCTTACCACTCTTTTCTCATAAGAAGAGGATGGGAAAGGGAAGTGGATTTGACAGTGGAGGAGATGCATAGGAAGAGGAAATATCCTCTTTATGTGCGTCTCCTCCTCCGTCGGATAAAGGTAGGCAACGTATCTGCAATTGCGGATGTCTATGGGCAGCGGTCGCTTCGCCATTTTGGCGGATTCGGGTGGCCGCTTGCTCGTTTGCCACCTCATGTTATAAAAAAAAAAAAGTTTGGATGGCCCGATGGATGTTTGTTAGACTTTGTAGCATAAATGGCTGAACGGATTTGAATGAAACTTGGTACAGATGTAGAGAATAGTCTGGATGAACTCGTAGGCTTTTGTTTTTTTATTATTTTACGCGGACGGAGTCGCGGGCTAAAGCTAGTAAATTATATTGTACTGTAAAGAAAAAAGCGACAACACTACGCTGAGAACATGTGACATAAAATCCGTGATTTAACTAAGATGTGTTTTTATAATGAAAGAAAAGAAAATCTTTTTAACTTTGTTGTTTGTAAGTTTTTGTGAATTTGTCTCATAATGTGATAATCACGATTATAATAAAATCTTTGATAATTTGGATTGATATTTTAGCCACACTGACAACATTAACTATTTCAGTTTCCTTTGTCCAATTTTCTTAAAATACGATACAAAGTTTTTGCTTAATCTATTACTTGTTGTTCCCGTGTGACTTCATCCGCGTGCATTTATGAAAATTTTATTTTATTGTTTACATTTGTCAAATTATCATTAGCAAATGTCAAAATGACGTGACATGATGTATTCAAAGTATGGCAATTTTGCTTCCTTGATGTTGGCAGCAACTTATGGTCTCTTTCCCACATTAGGGTTTTTATCCAAAATATTCACCCCCTAAGTTTAATGGCGTGAAAATATACAGCCTAAAGCATGACGTAACCACACTTACGTCATGCTTTAGGCTTTTTATTAAAAAAAGAGTTATCCTTGTTTACACAGTAAAATAGATAAGTCATCATCATCATCCCCACCAGCTCACTATATGTCCCCACCGAGGGGCTCGGAGCCTACCCTAAGTTAGGGTGACTAGGACATAGTCAACCATGCTGGCCAAGTGCGGGTTGGTCGACTTCACACATATCTTTGAGTTTCTTCGCCGATATGTGCAGGTTGCATCACGATGTTTTACTTCACCGTAATAACGTCGGGTAATTTATGTACATATGAAAATTCGAAAATCATATTGGTACATGGCGGCGGGATTCGAACCTAAGACCTGTAGATTACAAGTCAAGTGCTTAAACCACTGAGCCAACGACGCTCATGCAAAATCAATAAGTGAATAGGAAATAAGTCAGGTTATAAAATAATACAAAAATCCTTTCCCTGTTACATTTAATACATAAATAACACGACTTTAACTTTAATATAGTCAAATATACAAAAACTTCCTTAATTCCTATAACCATATTTTCTAATTTATTTCATTTAATTCAAGGGAAAAATCACATGTCCTTTTTCAACTAAAAATTTTATCGAAAAATTCATTTTCTACAAAAAACAACGCTTATACGTTATATCATATAACCTTTGTGTATTTATTTCTATACTAATATTATAAAGAGGTAAGATTTGTATTTTCAAAAACTCTTGCATAAACAAAAAGCTACGTTATCAGTAAGTAGCCTAGGCTATGTGTTATTTTTATATTCACACAACTGGTTATTTACACTTTTATTGAAATTAACAACGTATTTTGTGGTTTTTCTGTTTAGAAGAGAGAATTTTGGAAGCCTTAGAGACATGTTTTATAATTATTTTGTTAATAACATGATGAAGGAAAATCCTTAAACCATCCAGTGCTTATTAAAGACACCTATATCTTAAAACTAACAACTTCTTATAAAGAATACTAAACAACGATTTTATAGATTTACAAACCTTTTTCAATCAAATCAAAATGTGAAGATATTCAAAAACACTTTAATTTCTCCGTAAAATATATCAAAAATGTATAAAAAGCATCGTTAATCAGTTACAAGTCGATTGTACAATCTTACTAATATTAGTAAGATGTGAAAGTTTAGATGGATGGATGCTTTGGAGTTTGTAGCCTAAACAGCTGAACGGATCTGGGTGAAATTTGACATAGTGGTCATCCTCTAGGATAGTCTAGTAGAACACGCGAAAGAAGTCGCGGGCAAAAGCTAGTTAGACATGTTAGTGTTCATAATGCCTGGTTCACTTAGCCAGAACAGTTGGACAGTAGCCCTGGCCAGGTATAGATTGTATTGAATCACTGGCGCCAGTTAGTGTTGTCTATGCCAGTTAAATGGCAGTCAGTTATTGACATTATGGACACTTTAAAATATTTAAAATGTCTGTAAAATTGTCTTGTAATCGATTATCGTTACTTTTTACAAAATATTTTACAAAACGAAGTCGACAGTTGATGCCGTACTTTATTACAAACACCATAAAAACAAGACACCAAAAATAAAAACATTAAAATACAACAAACAGATAAATAACTATTTAATAAAATTTCAAAATTTCAGTACGAAATAACCAATATTATACGTATTTGTATAAGTTTTTACCCCTAATTAATATGTTTTCTTAATAATTTTAATTTAAAAAATGTAAATTTAACCCAATGCTAACATTTGTATTAACATATTGGCATCTCTTTTATTCTCTTAAACAAAAAAAGAGACAACATCTTAATATCACTGTGAATTCCACATATAAAATTAGATCACAGCCTAAACACAAGTACTATGCATACATTTTCTTCAAGTCTTTTCTCAATATTTTTCCCGTTGTCGTTTTAGGTATATCTTTAACAAAGGCAACTTCTTCTATCTTCTTGAACACCGCTACTCTATCAGCAACAAAGCTTTGTAGTTCTTCTGCGGAAGTTTCTTTGCCATTTTTACGAATAATAAAAGCCTTAGGAACTTCACCGTATAATTCATGAGGGATACCAATAACAGCCGCATCTTGTACCGCAGGATGTGAACGCAGTATGCTCTCTAATTCTGCGGGGGCAACTTGCATACCTTTAACCTGGAATGTATTAATTTTTACGTTACAATGCATCAGGTCGCAACCTTAAATAGATTTTACTTGTCTCGCTTTTATCAATAAATTTTATTTAGAATTGTTAGTAAAGACTGATTTTGACTTCTTAAACGCAAGGTCGCTCTAATGATCGCCGAAGTTCGGAAGAAGACGGCACTTTAAGAAGAAGAAACGCAAGGTAATTGTAATTTGCACATTGTTTGTTGAATTGTAGAAATGAAACTTGTTTGTGTAGATATTTTTATCTGAACTTAAAGCACTGTATGTATATTTATTTTAATATGTTTTGTTGGCATCCCTATAAAGATAAATAAATAAATAAATAAATAAATAAATAAATGTTTATTTACTATCGCATAAATGAAATTATACGTACATTTTTAAGGATATGGGACATTAATCTATACTAATATTTTAAAGAGGAAAGATTTTTACTTTTGGACTTTTGTATGCATTGAAATAACTCAAAAACTAATTGGCCGATTTCGTCAAAAGAAAGGGACTAAAATTAGGCCTCCGGCAACACACGCATCAGACGAAACACGGAATTGCTTCCATTTGACGGCTGTCTTCTGTGTGGTCGTATTACTGGGGGCGTGCCCTGCACTGCTAACATGTTAAAGCGGGCACTACCACTGTTCTTTCACCATTAAAAAGCTATTTTATCACCGAGTAAAATAAGCTATATTTTTTCATTCCACACGGACGAAGTCGCGAGCAACTGCTAGTTAACAATAAATTTTGGAGAAAATTTTCAAATCTCAAAATAACATAAAACATCGGTACATAACTAGTTAACAGTATCCTAAAATATTTCTATCCCATCTTCAAAGGATTGTTTCTTTACTATAAATAAATGAGAAATTAAATAAGTGGGCAGTATTAAAATTACCTTAATTAGCTCCTTTATCCTGTCAGTTATGTAAAGTCCAGTTTCTGGTTTATAATATCCTAAGTCGCCAGTTTTAAAGTAACCATCTTCAGTTAATGTCTCTTTGGTTGCTTTCTCGTTCTTGTGATATCCTTTCATTATGGTCGGACTCTTAACGTACATTTCACCGGGCTGTAAATTTAAAGCATATTTTAAAAAATATCTAGAAACCAAGTAATTTACTTAAATGGACGGTTTATTTTGAAAGTGGCGAAAGTCAATTTTTTCTTCATTTGTAACGAGAGGTTATATTTGTTTATTCAAAAATTTAAGCAAATTGTATGAAGTCCGGCAATGTCTCTATTGTTTTATAAAAAAATAGTTTTATTATATTTCTTTTAGGCGAATTAAACTACTTCAATACATATTTATGGGGTGCTATTGGACTTACACCACTTTCAAAATAAGCGGTCCAAATGTTACTGATGTGGTTTTGTCATCTTTTACTAAAGACATAAAAATGTTTAGACGGAGCACAATAAGGAAATTTTTCACCGGTACATTCTTTGAAAGGTACTACATCAGTTGTCAAAAGTGCCATCTAGTGACCTTATATTAACATGTAATTAAACATTTTACAAAATAATATGCTCCATCTTTTGTTATAAAATAAACTAAACTATTTAATGGCAGCTATTGGCAATTAATCGTATAAACGAGAATTTATAGATAGAGAGTGTTATAATTATTTAGTTATCTCAAGAGAATTATCAATTATGCTTCTTGTTAATGCACATGAGAATTGTTATTTGTAAAAACTCGCGATTACAAAATTGTATGCTACGTTATTTAGTTACGTTCTTAAAATCACAAGTTTCGTGTCCCTTACCTCTCCAATAGGAACAGGATTCCCGGTGAGCGGGTCAACGAACTTCAGCTGGACACTGGCCATGGGCACGCCGCATGCAGAATAATCCAGGATCGGTGCATCCATCAGTGTGGTTGTCGCTAACGATGTTGTCTCCGTTGCACCGAAACCTTGATAAAACTCTACCTTACGCTGAAAAGAATATTGAAAACATCCGTTTTAACATTCAAGAAAAGTAATATAATTTAACGCCATCTATTAAAAAAAAATAACTAAATATCATACTGTGTGTGAGTTTTTACCCGTGTTCAACAGATGGCGCTGTATTCAACTTGATCAAATATTATTTTTAATAAAATTGTATACAATTTTTCACTATCATATTGGAAAATGTAATTAAGTTTTAGAAGGAATACTTACTTTACACTTCTCTAAAATAGCATGAACATCAGAATCAGCTAAAGGAGCTGCCCCGCATATAACATTTCTTACTCTCTCGAAATGTTCCGCTTTCACATCCGGATGCTTGCCAAGTAGGATTGCTATAAAAGGTATTAAAAAAGTCACATTATGATAACAGTAGCAACTTTACTGTTGCTCGAAGTTGTCTATACTAATATGATAAAGAGAAAAAAAATGTATTTTTGTTTATTAAACTCAAAAACTAATAGGCCGATTTTAAATTCTTTCACCATTAAAAAGCTACATTATCATTAAATAACATTGGCTTTTTTATCGTTTTTTAAATTAAAGCGGACGAAGTCGGTAGCAAGAGCTAGTCTATAAAAAAATGAAACTCACCGATAGGTGGCACTACATACAATAATGTTGGCTTTTGTTTATCCAACACATCAAGGTACACGCTCGCAGAGAACTTCGGTAAAGAAATCAGTTTGCATCCCTTCGCCAAATGTCCAATTAAAGCTACCACTAGACCATAAATGTGGAAGAAAGGTAGTATACAAGGGACAACATCCTGAAAGTCACCTGAAAAATTAAACTGATTTATATATTAACTTATTAAAACTTTCGTGAGACATTATACTATATTATTTATAACTCACGTGGGAACTTTCGGTGTAGGCACTGACCAGTTTCAAACCCGTAGGGGGTCCTTCTTCAGGGTGAGTGGATGCCGGGTTTATATGGTCAGTGACGGTCAGTGACCGTCGCGACGCGATAGCGAATAAACCCGGCATCCACTCACCCTGAAGAAGGACCCCCTACGGGTTTGAAACTGGTCGGTGCCTACACCGAAAGTTCCCACGTGAGTTTTAGCCGTGTTATAAATAATATGATTTATATATATCGGGAATCAATGAAATGAAGATTAATGTAAGAAGATTAGCGTACTAAATGTGACCAAAAAAAGCGATTACATTGTGGATAAGCGTTGAATCCTATAGCATTTGACGATCCGTTCGTGTCATCATCACCAGCTTACTATACGTCCCCATAAGAGGCTTGCAGCCTACCTTAAGCTAGGGTGACCAGGCCTTAGTCAACTGATGCTTGTTTACCCTATTATTATAAAACATACAAATTACCTTGAGTGAGTATCGGATATGAGTTCCTCTTATTTTGCATAATTTCAATAGCAGCTAAAAGATTTTCATAAGTTATCTCAACGCCTTTTGGCAAACCTGTAGTACCACTTGAGAAAGGTATAAAAGCGACGTCATCTTTCTTCTTATCAACTTTATCTAAAAGACCATAATCTGCTTCACCAGATTCCGATATTTCCGAATATCGTATCGCACCTTCTGGTATTGGTGCTGCTGGATTATCAATAATAATAATTTTGGCATCTATTTTAGCATTCTTAAGACCTTTAACGACGGTGTCGTAGCATTGTGGTATAGTAACAAATGCTTTTGGACAAGTTGTTGAAACTTGATGGGTAACTTCGACTGAAAATAAAAGATAACGTTGGTTGAAATAACATATTACATTATGCTCTTCTTCTAAATAAATGTAATGATAGTACAACTGTGAAATAGATGACCAGAAATACTAATGAATAGCTTTGGGACCTTCTATCATATTATAGATTACCATATACTCAGTTACTATTATAGTCTAATGCTGGGTTTCTAAGGTTTTCGTTTATTATCCTTCATATATCTTTATTTCTTAATTTACATATAATATATTTTCCTGTCTCCTGAAACACAGTTGTTATATTTAGTTCAGGAGACAGCCCCAATGAATTTTGTAAAAATGTTTTTTGTTTAATAAAGAGTTTTTATTTTTTTTTTTTATAACATAAGGTGGCAAACGAGCAAGCGGTCACCTGAAATCGCCAAAATGGCAAGGCGACCGCTGCCCATAGACAACCGCAATTGCAGATGCGTTGCCTACCCTTATCCGACGGAGGAGGAGACGCACATAAAGAGGATATTACCCCTTCCTATGCATCTCCTCCACCGTCAAATCCACTTCCACTTCCCAACCTCTCTTTATAAGAAAAGGGTGGTAAAGGGAAAGGGACTTAAATTAGGCCTCCGGCACCACACTCACATCAGACGAAACACGGAATTGCTTCCATTTCACGCCTGTCTTCTGTGTGGTCGTGGTATTACACCGGGCGTGCCGGCCCATTCGTGCTAAGATGTTAAAGCGGGCACTACCACTGTTAATTTATTACCACTACCACTGTTATTTTTTCATTATAAACTAGATTCATGTTATGCAGTTAAAAATAATTGTAAAGTAAATGTTTTATGTACTAATAAAAATCTAATCGGTTAAAGTTAAGTAACTTAAGTAAAATTATTTGTTATTAAAAAAACATATCATATAAAAAATAGAACAACACCGGCTGCGGAATCCGATGACTCAAGCAACCAGTGGTCAGTGCGGTTTCTAAAATAACCGCCTTTTGAATCGGGCTCAACTGTCTAGCGAGAGCTTCTTCTTCATTTATTTTACTTAGTGATTCATTACTGTTTTATTGGCCTATATTTAAACATGTTAAAAATCAAGTTATGTAGTTCGGTAACGAGTTTCATGAAGTTATCTAACAAAAAACACTAACGAATTGCTAATCGTATCTAGGAAACCAGCCATTAGTTAAATAAGCTAAAATTCGTGAAACATATATCGTACTCAGTCTACTGGTATATCCAAGGTTTGTTTTGCTTTTATTACGTTAAAAACGATGCAAATTATGTCCCTGATCATGTTTACTGTTACGTATTTTAATACGACCGTCTAAAGGCTGTTGATCTTGATCGTCGACTGAAGTGAGGTCATTATTGCTAATTTTGTAAACCTTGGCAAACGTAAACAACAGCATCGAATATTACAATGTTACTCTTCCGGGAGCAAATACAAATAAAATCAAGTAATTACAATATAAAGTTTAAATATTAATTATTGGAGCAAATCGAAACTGTAAATATCCAAGGTAAATCGTAGTTAAACTGTACCCAGAGATTTGCAGACTCTGGGGAAAATTATCCAAGCCATCATCATCATCTTCCTCCTTATCCTACTCCCGTAGTGTCGGCGCAATAGGTTTTTGTCTTCCACATAACTCGTCATCTCAGTCACTCCCTTCTTGATTATGTTGCCTTTCAAGCAATCTATACCCCTCTCTTGGTCTACCTCTACCGGTGTAGGTCTACACTCATAACTAATGTTCTCTTTATAACATGCGATTCATCCCATAACTTGAACATATGTATGTACTATGTACCACGCTAAACTTTTACTCCTTAACTTTTTCATACCAAGCCAGTTTTTTTTTATTTTAAAAATACTTACGTTCTTTATAAATTGGATTAATAGGAGTTACAACACATCCAGCTTGTAAAGCACCGAACGCCACTACAGGGAATTGTGGACAATTCGGTAGCATTGCCGCGACCACATCGCCTGGGTTCAAGCCCAGTTTCTTCCTTAGCGATGTCGCGAACACCGCCATATTCTTCTGCAACTGTTGATATGTGTAGTTTTTCTTTGATTCCGCACATTCCTGGAAAAAGAAAAAAAGGATGTTAATTATCACATTGAACATTCATTGACTTCTATACTATTCTAAAGTTTGAATTTCCCTCTGTTCTTTACCATGGTTTTATTCTTGTTTTAACGCGTAGTCTGATGACGAGTGTAGTGGCATTTTAGTAGTCGTTTTGTCTATTTTTATGATCTGAAGATTATGTAGCATAGCAATTTGACCGTGGCCAAGCTAATTGTAAAAGCCAAGACCAACAAAGTGATTCAAGCTATAAGAAACATATTCAAATTAGTTTTTTTATAACATATGCACGTGCATGAGACTTATAAAGATATTAACGATAAAATATACGCCTATTTGATACGACCTCGTTTATCGGTGAATTATTTTATAATCCGATCTCCTGCAGTCTAATCGAATAAAAGATAAGATAATAGGCTAAAAAGAAAAGCCATTAACTGATATCTTTGTTGGAAAAACTGAATGCTTAAAATAAACTCATCAATTATGGCTATAATAGCCAATCCTGATTATGAATAAAACTTGAATAGACATTACAGTATTATTTGAATGTCGGTAGTTTTACTTTTACAACGTAATTATACTTCGATAGTCAATCTACGGATTCCCAGGAATAGCGCGCATTTCCTTAATATTTCAGATTGACATTGACAGATGTCATAGGGATGGGACGTCTACGTCAATGATGTAGTGTTGCGCCGCTAAACCGGCACGGTACCGATTTCTTTTTAACAATAGATAGAAAAAAAAACGGACTATTTAACTGAGAGTTAACACTGCTTTAACATTTTTAGATTTAAATTTTTACCTACTGGTATATGACGGGTAAGTTTTTATTTATGTAACCTAAACACTAAACGATTGAACGTAAGTAACAAATCTTGTTACTGATTTTTTGCTTACGTATTTTGTTCTTTTTTTAAATAATTTTCCTACTAAATTTCTGCCTTGTCATCGGATAGGAATATAAATAAATCAAAAGAATTATTAAATGTAAACTTTTAAAGTCTATGTAAGAAAAACAAAACTTTACATTACAAATTTTACGTCATTGTATGCTAATGTTTTCTATACAATTACTTAGCAAAAACCATGAGAAATAAATTGCACTTTGAACTTACTTTAAAATAATTTAAATACAACTTAATTAAGAAACAATTGAATACAATATCTCGGTATGAAGAATAATGTGATTCTAATTGTTAGTTTATTCGCTAGTGTTTTGAAAGAATTTATTTCATTATAACTAATTACCCACAGATAAATTACCTTTCTAATGGTGAAAGATTTTTTTAAATATGACCAGTGGTTTTTGCATGAATCAAATACGTACAAAAATACAAATATTTCCTCTGTATAATAAATATTAGTATAGATTGTTAATTAACATGGCAACACTACTATTTAATTTATTAAACTAGAAATTTTTGTATCTTATCTTGTAGTTATGTTTTTATAGTATATGGTGACCATCATAATGGTCCGAAATACGTTAAAATACAAAAGCAAACGTTTGCTCAGACATCATTTGCTGATGGGATGCCTACCTTCAAGCAACAGGGAAGGAAACGCTTAGAAAGAATGGATTATTCCCAACCCTCACTCCGCCCACATGAGAATAAAAAATTTCATCTGTCCCACCTTTTATTCCCACTATCACCAATGAGGTGACAGATGGAACCGTTATGAAATAAAAAAAGTTCCAACCGACCTCTCGTCGCAAAAGGTGGGACGGGTGAAACTGTTTCCTCACATCTGTCTCCACGTGGTGACAGAGCGGAGTGACGGTTGGGAATAGTCTAAAAGAATTTTAATCCCTTAACTATTCGTCCCATCCTACGCCAAATCCTCTCCCTTAAATTAGGTTTCTGATACACACATTGATGACATGATGTGTTCGGGGTATTGCACCGAGCGCTGGCCTATTCGTGCGGAAATGTAAAAGCGGGCTCTACCACTGTTACTTGTTTGTGTACTTTTGTTTACATATTTTTAACAGAAATGGGAGCAATGTATCAAAACATTGTTATATTATCTCTACGATATAGGGGTCGTTCGAATCTTTAAAACGTCAATAGTTGTAATATCAAAAAGAATATTGTTCAAATCTTAATTTGTTTGTTGCTTTAATTTTTGTCTTTATTTCAGATTTGGAAACAGATTCTGAAGAAATAAAATGTTCTCGAAATTTCGCGAGTTTACAAAAACCAAAATCGATTTTACGTTGCATCTGATTTTGCCCAATTTAGCGTAATTCTTTACTTAGGATGAAAGACTTCTAACATCTTAATTTTTCCTTAATTATCTGCTATTAACTTTTCAATTTCATTCATATTCGTAATTAGCTGCTGGTCGCGACTTCGTCCGCGTGAAATTAATAAAATATGACTTATGTATGACACTAACTGATAACGTAGCTTTTTAATGGTATAGAATGTTTGAAATCGGCCAAGTAGTTTGAGTTTTTACAATATGAACAAAAATACAAATCTATCTATTTAGTGTAGACATTAAAATACTTTTTAATAATGTGTTCACTTTTATTTGCAATAACTGTTTTTCATTAGAAATGAATGAATGAATTCGCAGAATATTTAGATAAGATAAGCCGGTCTATCTGCACTCGACACTCGACTAGCTATAATTATCCCTTACTGAAAGTATTCGTGTCGCGAAAACTGGTTAACGTGAGCAAAACAAGATGCAAACATAGCACACGTTAATCGTAATATATGTCCAGTAAGAGTGTAGCAAAAGAATTATATTACATTCCCGCGTTTCGTCTGATGAGTGTGGTCTCTTTCCCCTTCCACCCTTTTCTAAACAGGAAAGGATGGGAAGGAAAAGTGGATTTGACAATGGAGGAGACGTATAGAAAGTTTAAATGTCTTCTTTATGTCCGTCTCCTCTGTCGACTAAGGGTTGGCAACGCATCTACAATTACAAATGCCTATGGACAGCGGTTGCTTCACCATTGCGGTTTCAAGTGGCCGCTAACTCGTTTGCCACCTAATAACATAATATAATAAAAAAACCATTTTGAATCGACAATTGACAATCGGACAATTTTACCACCTAATTGCGTTATCAGGGTGTAATAATGATAAAATCTAATGTCGATAAATGTAAAAGGAACTGTTTCATATTACATAATGTAGTAAAAATGGGCAATTTTGATGTAGAAACGTCAGTGGTACGGACGACGTACTTATTCCTACCCAGGTATGTTCCTTGGCGCATACAATGCAATCAGGTTTGAGAAATTCTCATAGCAACATGTTGAAGCATAATTGTGGGATCCTACATCGCAACGTCACGTTAACGTTTGCAAACTGCACGCTATCAAAGTTTCCAAATATATTCGCTTACAAGTTGAATGGCCGCGTGGCCTAATTTTGGACTAGTTATAGTTTCTTTGAACCCTAGACTACGTAATGGTCGGACGTAAAGGCTAGTATACGATCGACGTTGCATAGTTTTAGAAATAAGTTATGTCGTGTCTATCTTAGATTTAATAAAAAAACAATGAATAATATTGTTTTATGATGATAGCATATTTGATCAACTGGGTGGTAAATTAAATGTCGCGACGGGGTTTCAAGGCGACTTCTGTTTACGCAACACGATATTATTCCAGTCCAGCGATAAATTCCATCGTTGGACTGGAATAAAGTAAACGTAGCATTACGTACAATATACTAGATGTACACCTAACATAACTTACTAAGTTAATTAACATTTTCCATGAACATCAAATGCTAATAAAACTATGGGAAGAAACAATCACGGTTTTCGTTTAGGAATAAAGCATAATGAAACAATTGCTAGATGTTCTTAGGAGGCCATTGAATTATTGTAACTAAGACGTGTTCCGATTTTATCTAACTAATGTTATAAATGCGAATGTTTTGATGGATAAATGTTTGTTACTATGTATGCCTAAGTCGGCTTAACGGAACTGGCTGAAGTTTGACATAGATACAGAATATAGTCTGAAAGAACACAGTCGATTGTTTTCCTTTTAATTCCGAGCGGATAGAGTCGAGAGACAGCTGGTAAACTAAAAATTAACCATAACACTAGTTTGACGTGCAGTAAAGTGAAGCAGACTAGTGGGTCGGCACTTTTATTGTTTGAACAGATAGTTCGAAACAGTATTGTTTTCTCAGTGTTTAATAGCAGTACTGCATTGGTCTACTGCACTCTCTTGTTATTTGTGAGACGGTTTCACAAGACGACAGAACATATCATAATTTTATCAGTCGGTCTGGTATCAGTTGGACTTAGCACAAGGCTACACCCCTGAGTGTAAGATTAAGATAAGTGGATAATGGAATAACTGCAGTCTTATCTATTTGACAATTACATACCACTTTTCAAGAGATAAACATATTCGCAATTTGTCATTTATGCCAATATTATAAAGGGGAAAGATTTGTATTTTTGTATGTATTGAAATAACTCAAAAACTACTGGGCCGATATTAAAAATTCTTTCACCATTATAAACGTTATTTATCTAGTAACATGGGCTATACTTTTTTATTATTTTTAATTTCACACGGACGGAGTCGCGGGCGAAAGCTAGTATATCATATGTTGCAATCATCATGAATATGTTTTATATGACGTTTAGCTATTTATGTTTTTACCCGATTTTTTACTGATAAAGACGGTAATGTTTGTCACAGCCTAGAGCCTAAACGACTGAATCGATTTAAAAGAATGAAGTATCATGCGATTGGTCTCCTTTTCCGGGGAGTCATAGGGTACATAGAGTAGGCCCAAGTCTATACCTAAGTTTACACTTGTAGATAACATCATTCTTGGACAAAAACAAATCTCATCCAAGAATAAATCTATAGACATGAGTTAAGACTTTTCTAAAAAAAAAGTAATAAAACACGACTGCGGTTAATGTTGTAAAAAAATAAATAAAACGAATACACGAAAAAGTATTTTGTCCTCGACCTTTGTTCAAAATAAGTTGTAATTAAAAAAACTTCATAGAAAACATTATCTTATGTGTTGTATTATCTTCAATTGATTCTATCGCTATGCGAAATTTTTGTTAGTTAGGATTTTTGATGGTCTATTCCTATTTTATTCTTATTTGTGGATATTAAAAGTATGAATTCTTGTTAATTTTCTTTATATAATAATGAATATGGTGGGAAATATATCTGTCAGTCTAAAGTGCAAGGCAAATAAATATGAAGTTTTTTATTTTTTATTTAACTCGCCAGTGTTATATGTAAATTTTGAAATAAATTAATGTTTGTGTTACGAGCAACTGTAATTAACATAAATTTAAGTTTCTATGTAAAATGTACGAATAATTTTACATTATCTATACTATTATAATAAAGTGTAAACACACATTTCTTTGTTGCCTAAGATGTCAGCAATTAAAGCATATTTTTGAATAACTCATTTTGTAATGAAAAGCCCTACACTTACATCACGCTTTAGGCTATATATTTTCACGGCATTAAACTTAGAGGGTAAATGTTTGGATAAAAACCCTAATGTGGGAAAAAGACCATAAGTTGTTTGCAACATCAAGGAAGCAAGATTGCCAAGGTTTATAATGTGGTGTCATTTTGACATTTGTAATTGATAATTTGACAAATGTGAACAATAAAATGATTTTTTTATAACTTTATGCGGATGAAGTCGCATGGGAACAGCTAGTATTGTATAAAACATGTTTTTTAAATCACTCATTCTCATTGAAAAAACCTTTAAAAATACATTGTTGGAATTAAATAATTTTAATTTAATGAATACGTGAGTTTTGCACGTGCGAAAAAAATTAACAAATTAACTCGAGTCCATAGTCCAGTTTGAAAACGAAATTTTACATTTCATGTTCTAAAACACGTTCAATTTGCATATATTTGTTGATATTCGCACGTTATAGCAGTGGAAGGTTAAATCGATTAAGGAAATACGAAGACAAGACTTATTTGAATCATAGAATAAAAGTTAAAATATGATTTATTAGATATAAAAAAAAACTCACAATTGCAACATGATTGTTAAAACTCGACGATTCCAGCCAGAGACGGTCCAAAAACCTCATATTAGGAACAACAATATCTTCTAACGGTGATTTAATAACATATTGCTCTTGATTTTTAAGAGTAACACTTGATGAGAATCTCCTAATACATCGAAGTTGTTTAAATTGACGTAAGAGGAGTTTACGCGCCATGTTTTGCGATTTGCGCGCGCTTTTGGCGGTAACGGAATGACAACTGAATAGACGATGGATTCGCGCTGCGAACTGTCGCGACCGATAAACAATGCACGTCGAAAATATCTTCCGCATAGGATTTTACTCATTTAATCACATTATCCTATTAACTAAAGCATCATCAGTGATAACTTAAAATATGACATTTAAAAAATAAGATAAGATAAGTCATAGACTAACAGTAATTTATTTGAAAAAAAAAGACACTAAATCTGTAACTAATCTATGAAAATTTAGGTTATTTTAATTTTCCTCCTATTATTTTAAAATGGCTAAAGTCAACATAAAAAGAATTTTATTAACATGTCAACTAAAATAATCGAAATTAGGTAAAATCCTGTCATAAAAATTATCAATATATATTATATGCTACATCATGTTCTTTATCTTTTACATTGTAATTAAATCGCGGCATTACTTGCAAATAAAATAATCATAATGATTTCGTTATAAAATTATTGTTTTATAACCGAAGCGACTTAAGGCTGGCTTCCCAGCAATGTTTAAACATTCTTTAGTATTCCTGATTCAATAACTTCATGAAACGTTTCCGAACTACGGAGTTTTACTCCGTTGAAACATAGATCACATAGAACATAGATCACACTAGGTAATCTTACTAATATTAACTATAAATGCGAAAGTTTAGATGGATGGATGTTTGTTAGAGTTTGTAGCTAAAACGGCTGAACGGATCTCGATGAAATGTTGCAAATGTGTAGAGAATAGTCTGGAAGAACACATAGGCGGCTTACTTTTGTTTTTTTTTATTCGACGCGGAGTCGCGGGCGAAAGCTAGTTATTAAATAAAGGGAAACTTCAGCAACCTAGCCTTAATCCTTTTGTGTATTCTTCGTTGCAATTAACTCATTAAAGTGTCGAAACGTGGACAAAGTATGCGTTGATCTGTTCTACTTCTATTCAATTAATAGTAATTGTTTCTTGAAAGACAATAGATGTATTTAGTAATACATTAACTGGATAACAGAATTGTGTCTACAGTGGTAGAGCCCGCTTTAACATTTTCGCACGAATGGGCCGGCTCGCCCGATGTAATACCACGACCACGCAAAAAACAGGCGTGAAGTGGAAGCAATTCCGCGTTTCGTCTGATAAGTGTGGGGCCGGAGGCCTAATTTTAGTCCCTTTCCCTTTCCCTTTCCACCCTTTTCTCAAGAGGAAATGATGGGAAGGAAAAGTGGATTTGACAGTGGAGGAGACGCATAGGAAGGGGAAATGTCCTTTTTATGTGCGTCTCCTTCTCCGTCAATTAAGGGTAGTTAACGCATCTGCAAATGCGGATGTTTATGGGCAGCGATCGCTTTCTACTTCGGTGGATTCAGGTGGCCGCTTGCTCGTTTGCCGCCTTGTATTATAAAAAAAAATTACGTTTTTTTTAAAGTTCTCGACGTTACAATAAAAATGTTATTCTTATCAATTCTAACGGCGTGACACTTCTATACTAATATTATGAAGAGAAAAGATTTGTATTTTTGTATACATTGAAAAAAGTCAAACTGGTGGGCCGATTTAAATAAAATCACTATTAAAAAGCTAGGTTATAACAGAGTAATAGAGGCTACGTTTTTTAATCATGTGGAAGAAGTCGCGAGCAACAGCTAGTCGTATATACAGATGATGTACTTAGTTCCTTCTCGACTCCTGAACGTGTGAACTGATTTTGTTGGAGACTTAGATTTGCTACGATCAACAGATTGTGCTCTGTGTTTTTTTTAAATAATTATAAGTCTATTCAGATAAATTATGTTTTGTTTAAGCGTTCCTCATATAATACCTATTTTACACTATTTTTCGACATGTATAACGAATTTGAGATTATTCCCAACTGTCACACCACTCTGTCCCCACATGAGAATAAAAAGTTTCATCCGTCCCACCTTAGTCCAACTATGACCATCAAGGTGACAGATGGAACCGTTAGGAGATTAAATAAGTTCCAACCGTCCCCTCGTCGGAAAAGGTGGGACGGATGAAATTTATTCTCATCTGTCTCAACGTGGGGATAGAGCGGGGTCACGGTTGGGAATAGTCCCGAATTTGTTGATCCCTAACGTGGCCATTGGTTTGTCTCTACTAAATGGTCTTGTTAATAATAATAATAAATAGTGTTAGGTGTCCGTTTTAGTGAATCGGGGGCGAGTCGCCTGTACATTTATCTTGTTTGTTACACGCGAATATTTGTAGACTGGGTGTGTCAAGACTAGCTCGTGACCATGACACTGTCTGTCTCGGATGTTACGGCATATTGCCGAATCTCTGACCTTGATCGAAGTTGTGTTTTCCAATGTTAGATGACGTCAGCTGAATGTCGAAATCCAGTTGTTAGCTAGAAAGGTAGAGAAAATATGCTACTCTTATTATTGTTGGTTTCTAAATGTGAGTGTGATACATTTTTTGTTTGAAGTGTTTAGCAGTTATTTATAGATTTGATTTTATAAATCTAAGTACTAAAAAAATTGTTGTAAAAATTTAAAGGGTGTTTAAACTTATTAGTATTACCATTTAAAAAAATATGATTCTACCATTTATATCTTTACTATTATTATAAAGAGGAAATATGTGATTTTCTTTTTTTGTATGTATTGAAATAATTCAAAAACTACTGGGCTGATTTCAATTGTTTCACCGTTAGAAAGCTACGTTATTAGTGAGTAACATAGGTTACAATTTTAAATACGAATTCTTTATTGCTTTTCATTATTTTTCATTTTCTTTTTTGTGTGTTTGTTTATACTTATATGGGTTAGTTATTTTGTATAAGGCATTATGGGACAGACATTTTCTAAGGAACCAGTCCCTATTAAAAATAAAGAGAAAAAAGGTTACATTTTCTCTTATTTCTTAAATTCATGAAGTCGCAAGCAACAGCTATCTTATTCTTATCTTACTAATTTTATAATACAAAAGTTTAGATGGATGGATGATTGTTAGAGTTTGTAGCCTAAATGACTGAAAGGATTTCGATGAAATTTAGTACAGATGCAGAGGATAGTCTGGAAGAACACATAGGCTACTCACTTTTGTTTAATTCCACGCGGAAAGCTAGTGTTGTAATAAATTTGAGTAATTTAAAAACATAATCAGCCATCCTTCATGCACTAACGATGAGCAACATTTCGCGCTTCATATCTTATCTTACCACGATATCGTTATCAAAACTAGACTTGAGGTAATCGTAATCACCTCGCACGTTAAAATTTAACTAATTCGTTTATACCTTGATTGCCTCGTGACGAGGACAATAGTTGCAAGGTCATGAGTCAAACAAAATGTTATGCCGATTTAAAAACAAATGTACGAAACGCATAGATAGAAGCGAGCAAATTATTTTAAATGTCCAAGTTATAGCATTAAACATGGAAAAATATTTACATTTTTTTTAATATTAGTAGTTGACTTACTAATATTTCCTTTAACCATTCCCACTAAGCTCTAGGATTGTGCTAGGATATGGTTCACGATAGTCGAATTTCGGGATTCGAACCCTCGACCGCAAGATCAGTGGTCCATAACCCAAACCATTAGGCTCTAAGTAGCAATTGAATGTCGCTGAGGACGGCAGTTTAATATAAACAATCGTTACTTCAATTTCTGTTTTAATTTTTATTTGGCTGTTTGGCTTATCCTATAAAAATTAGTACTCATGTCCACAAGAGTGTTAAGTCTTCTGGACATAAGCATATAAGTGGACGTTAGCCCGGTTTCTGAAAGCCGTACAAACAATTTACGTCTATCTTATACTGATATGCTATAGCAATCAAATTTCATTTACCTTACTGGTTGACAACTCTTTGGCCTTGAATTTTTATTGTTGCAAATAAACACGATAAACAGTTGATTGTTATTATTTCCTTAGTACAATCAGTAAATTGCATTTTGTCGGGGAAATGTAGTTTATATCAGTTTCACGCATTTTTATGTGAAACTATAAACCAGTCAATTGTGGTATCGGTATTTAAGGTAGAATATGAGCAGTAGAGCGACATGTAAATCAATGTTTATTACTATTGAATAAATGTTTTTTTGTTTTTTTTTCTTCTTTGCCTGATATGGTGGAATACAAATATTCAAGAACCAAAGTTCTTAAGCAGTTCTTATTGAGCTAGCGCGCTCTATCCTTAGGCCGCGTCTTCCTTTAGGTTAGGTGGAGTCGTGGTCAAGCGCTGGTTTATTTACGTTAAAAAAAAGTAACCCTGTTGAGTAGACAAATGGGTTATCTGTTTTCCAATATCAAAACACTTAGTATATTTATTACTAAATTAAAATTAAAATTGTACTAAATTCAGCATGCTTTATTGGTTTTACACGTTAGTAAAATAACCCATTCATTCACCTTAACCTGCAGGTTAAGGCAAACTCAATAACACGTCCTTTGAAAAGCTATTAACATGTAATTATTGTAAAGGCATTTGAATTACCACTAATTAAGACTTACCTTTGAATGCTTTGAAAGGAAATGTATAGCTTAAGTTAAAATAATGGACTTAAGTCTTAGTGGTTATTGATGGCTGCTTTTACTTACCATATTTTTTTTATAAATATTGATAGATTTTTATTAATAAGCTCTAGGTTTGTGCCAGGAAATGGTTTATAGTAGTTGAATGGTGGGATTCGAACCCCGACCACGTGATCAAAAATCTGTACGCTTTAACCATTAGACTAATTAAGTAAATAAGAGTCTTAAGTTTCAGTCGTTTTTAATTTCAAATGAAATTATCATACTAATATTATAAATGCGAAAGTTTAGATGGATGGATGTATGGATGGATGTCTGTTAGAGTTTGTAGCCTAAACAGCTGAATGGATTTCGATGAAATTTGGCATAGATGTAGAGGATACTACTAAGTTTTTTTTATAATACCACGCGGACGGAGTCGCGGGCGAAAGCTAGTTGAAGTATATAAATACTAAGAGTTAGTAAGGGAAAGCGTAAGTCAATGTACATTTGTTGTCCTATATAGAGGTATTTTGTTTTTTATCGACCGCAATATCGAACAAGTATCGGTTGTACGTGAAACCGGTACAGTCGAGTACATAATTTAAATGGGAACTTTCACTTTTATACGTTAACTGCAGTATTGAAACAAGCAAACGTAAAATACTGAACAAATTTTGGATGAAACTTGTGCGTTGAGGATGTATGAAGTGTACACTTTTTGCATTGTATTAAATGCACGGTTCCGCTAATTAAATATGTTATTTATTTCTTTGTTTCTGTGGTATTACATGAAAAATCAAATAAAAACCATGATTTTATATGCATCTCATTTATATGTATTTAAAATATAATTAAAAACTTGTTTCGCCTGTTCCTTGAAGTGTATTTGCATCATCAAAATTACTTTTTTTTATTTTTTTTTACTGTAATGTTTTTTAATGGTACAGTTTACGACAAAGGAATTTAATAAATTGACCTTGGTAAACCCTTGAATTAAAATGTAATCTTACTTCTTACTAATATTATAAATGCGAAAGTTTAGATGTATGTTTGTTAGAGTTTGTAGCCTAAACGGCTGCACGAATTTAAATTTGTAGTCTGGGACACATAGGCCTCCCACTTTTGTTTTTTTAATTGCGGACGTAGTCCCGGACGAAAGCTAGTATTTATATAAATAATACGATCCTAATGTATACCATTAACAAAATTGGTGTGTCTGTATGTAACAACGGAAAAAATAATTTGCTCTTTATAGCATTTGTTTTTTTTTACATTTTTTTTAAAATAGTCAAGTAGGTCCATGTTTGTCCCTGTTTTTACTATTTTTTTAATTCTGCACTTACGAAGTCTCGGGAAGTTAGTAATAAAAAAAAAACTCTATATAGTTAAACATTTTTATTATAAAATTGATATAAATGATAATTAACATTTTGTAAATATTTTAATATTGTTTTGTGATGATAAAAAAAGCATTATTCAGTACATTTTGGTCCTTTAATTGGAAATAATAAGGCTCTTAAAGAATGAAGTTTTCTTAGACATTTTTATAAAAATTTTTGCTTAAATCTAATAACGTTTACTTTCTTATTAATAAAGTGATATAAAAATACGTATTAATGGCAAAAATGACTGAAATTAGTTGATTTTACTAATAAAGGCAAGTATAAAAAAATAAAAGCTACTCTTACATTTTTTTTTATACTAAATCGTTGCATGTCCAAAAGTCCTTAAATACTAAATAAACATTTTATAGGCACTTCTGTTTTCATTATAGTCATGTGTATAAAAACATGTTGTAAACCATATTTTTCAAAAAGTAAAAAAAAAACAAAAACCCGACTGAACAAGGCCCTAGATAAAATAGCGCCATCTGTTAGCTGCATTTTGAAACAAAGATTTTGAAATTTTAAAATATATATTCAAACTAAATTAATTGTAATATTCGTTATTATTATAGACTTCAATATATTAAAGAAAATATTCGAATCAAAATCTTCTAAGCTGTTACAATGAAATTAACACAAATACAAACTTACACATAAAAATAAACTTACATATGTATGAAAAAAAGAAACGTTCAAAACATATAAAAATAGGATAAAAGAGGCACATTGAGAACCAATATTTTAAAAAATGTTTAAATCCATCTTAAACGTAACGGTTTCAATTAATTTTATCGATTTTATTCATAAAATATTTAACAAATAAAATATATTCAGAAAAAAACATGGTTATATATATTTTAGGGTCCAAAAGCAGACCGATTGCACAAAAATCCGACCTCTTTATGTTAATAACTATTTTGTGTAGTTTTTAACATTTTTAATAACATTCTGTTTATAATCGACCCAAAGTTAAAAAACAGAAAATATTAAAAATTTCATTTTATAGTCTTGAAGACACTTTTTAAAAATTTAAGTACTCTTTATAAAGCATTATTTAGCGTATATTTTCATATTTAAAGCGTTTACAGAAGTACTTTTATGTATTTTTGGCTATTATATGTTACTATAAACATTAACAATATTTAGCTTTTAAATCTTTTCTTAAAATCTTACCGGCTGGATTCTTAGGTATTTCATCAACAAATTGTACTTCTTTGATATGTTTGAATGCTACGAGTTGTTCGTTAACGTATCGTTTAACTTCCTCGTCTGTGAGTGCGTCTCTCTGAGTGACGACGAAGGCCTTAGGGGCCTCGCCGGTGACGTCATCGGGCACTCCGATCACTGCACAGTCCATTATCTTAGGATGTGTTCGTAATATCGTTTCTAATTCCGCTGGAGGTACTTGGAAACCTTTCACCTGGAAATATTTACTATAGTTTGAATAAGATAGATTAGTTTGATGAATGACGCATATGAAGTATCGAATTAAATTTGTATGAAGGCAATGCTGTACTTAATAGACAGGTATCGTAGTGAGGAAACAAACACGCATTGAACAATTTTGAATTATCGATATTCGGTTTAAATAAAATTAATCGAACTTAATTAAAATTATTATTTTCTTGTTAACTAAATTAGAGGACAATTCTAATATTGATTGTAGTGTAGAGAATTTGCGATGACAATAATAGCGAAATCCAATTCGATTACGTACGGCTGTAATAGTAATAAATATTTATTTACTCTCATTATTTGTAATGTTTCTGCAAGTCCTTATTAATTTGAGAATACCATTTTTTTTATTCAGAAGTTGTGTAAAATCGGGCATGAATCTTTTCGATTATCGATTTTTATTCTTATAGAAGTTGAAATCGATTGATTCATAGTTATAACTTATCTACTAAATAAACACTTTTTTCAACAATAAGTGTTATGAGGCGATGGGGACATAAGCCAGAAAGTTTGAGAATGAAAGTGGATGGCTACAAAGGTAGAGAAGAATGAAAGTTGATGGCTACAAAGGTAGAGAAGAATGAAAGTGGATGGCTACAAAGGTAGAGGAAGACTGAAAAAAGTATGGATTGTGTTGCAGAGGATATGCTTAAGAAAGGAGTGTATTTAGATATGACGGCTGATAGAGATGTATGGAAGAGCAGCACATACTGTGCCGACCCTCCATAAGGGATAAGGGCAACTTGATGATGATGCAATTTAAAGTGTTACCGTACCTTTATTAATTCTTTTAATCTATCAGTAACGTATAGATATTTGTTTTGATCGTATTTCCCGATATCGCCCGTCTTGTACCAGCCGTCAGTCAACACCTCGTTAGTTGCGACTTCATTCTTGTAATAGCATTGCATTAAATTAGGTCCTCGAACCCATATCTCACCTTCCTGGAATTGGAAATAAAAAAAGATATTTTTTTATGTGATAATTCAATTTGGATTATCATAGTAATTTAATAATCAAACGATTTGATACTTATGTTGGGAGGTTGTTAAAAATATTGGATAATTTTAGTTCGTACAAAGAGGAACAGTGAATTTGACGGCGGAGGGAACGCATAGGAAGGAGAAATGTCAATTTATGTGCGTCTTTTCCACCGTCGATTAAGAGTAGGTTACTCATTAGCAATTAATGATGTCTATAGTAAAATGTTGCTTTACTTATTTGGTGAATTTTAGTTTTTAGGGTTATTAAATACAAAAAACGAGAAAATTAAAAAAGTAAACAAGTCAAAAAAAGATAGACATTTTTTTAGTTCGTTATTTTTAATTTAGATTATCACGGTACTTTACTAATCAAGTAATTTAAAATGATACTTATGTTGGAAGGTTGAAAACATATCCGCCATTTTGACAGCGGCCATCTTGGATTTGACGAAATTTCAGAGTAAAGTAAAAATAAAAATTAACCCTTAAATGCACGATTTTTTTTATTTAATTATGAAATTAAGATGTTTAGTCACATGTTAAGTGAAAAATAATTAGAAAAAAATTGGTTTCAATAAAAACTATACTTTTGTTTGTAGACTTTTTGCAATAATATGCATTTAGGGGTTAAAAAGACAGTACACATTTTAGCGAATAAAAAAAATCTTACTTTGCCAGGTCCCAATGCTTCTTGTGTGTTAACATCGACGATTTTGGCCTCGCAGCTGCCGAACATGTAGCCGACGGTGGCATGGTTGACATCACTCTTCCTGCCAACTGACACCCCGCCATTGGTCTCCGTCAACCCGTAGCCTTGACGGAAGTAAATGTTCTTCTGTAATTTGTATTAGCTGAGTTCTTTCCATGACTATAGCGTTTTTGTCAAATTTTCAAGGAAATATCATATGAAGGGTACAGAATGTACAGAATATATGATGGATACAGAAGTTTATAGATTATATTTAAAAAGTTACTAAAAAAAATATACTCATAAGTATATCTTTTTTTTGAAATGAGAGTTAAAGGCAAAGATTTAATATAACTATAAGAAAATAAACAATTTGGACTGAAGCTTATTCACTTCTGTACTCTTAATATATTGCATTCAAGCAAAAAATATATATGGAGTAAATGTAATTTTATTGGTAAATTAATGAAAACATAAATATTTTCTCTAAAATAGTAATAAACACTGTGATGAAATTTAAATTACAGTGTAAAATTTGTGCCTAACTTAAGTCCGTTCAACTAAATTAATTTCTATCACAATTGGTGAATACTGGTATTTGAATTACAGGCGTTGCTGCTGAGATAGACTAGATCTCTTTTTTATAGGGGAATGCTGTATGTATTACGGGACACGGACTACTGGGACAAGGTAGTCCGTGTCCCGGAGGAGTATGTGGAATTCTGCTCTTACGAGGCATACCCACTAAACCCCTTTGTTCCTCCTGCATAGGGGCAGGGTTGCATTCACGCTTATGCTTTCGTCCGACTACGCCTGCGTCTTTGCCGGTTGGCAGCTCATCTCTGGGGGGAGATAGACTAGATCTAGATCAACTACCATTAACTAATCTCATTCGAAGTTCATCATCTATTTAAGGTTTTACAGTAGTAAAGAGAGTAGTAGAGAGTACTCTAGGAACTTCCTAATCTCGCCCTGGCGTAATAGTGTGATAATACACCTATGTCAATATGAACACACAAAATGATGACGATGATGAAGATGATGATGATGATGCTGATGATCACACTTACGTTTTTCTTCAATACAGCAGCAGCGTCAGTCTCCGAGAGAGGTGCAGCGCCACTAATGATGCCGCGAACAGATTGCAAATGTTCTCCCGTTACCGCGGGATGCTTGCCCAGGAACACAACTGGGATAAAAACAACCTTATTGCAAAGAAATAGGGTCGCTTATTCCTTAATCAACCATTATTATGGATATGTATGTTATTGTTGTGGAATGTTCTAGAAATATATAGATTCCCTAAAGATTTATAGATCCGTACATCTATACTAATACTATAAAGAGAATAGGTTGTATTATTGTATGAATTGAAATAACTCAAAAACTACTGGGCCAATTTTAAACTCTTGTATCGTTACAAAGCTACGTTATCAGTGAGTAACATAAGTTATGCTTTGTTATTATGTTTTATTTTATAGGGACGAAGTCGCCAGCAACAGTCAGTTTGTCATATATCTAACGCGTGATTATTTAATATTTCTTCTTACTAGTATAAATGTGAAAATTTACATAGAGTTTGTAGCCAAAACTGCTGAAGGGATCTCGATATTTGGCATAGATGTAGAGGATAGTCTTAAAGAATACATAGACTAGTTTTTTTTTTAATCTTCACGCGAAAGGAGTTGTGGGCGAAAGTTAGTTACTATACAGCTTAGAGTTTTTATTAAGCATGCTATAGGGGTTTTGATAGTTTTAAGTGAAAGTCAAAACACATGTTAAAAATGAATTTATATAGTATATGAAGTACTAGCTTTTGCGACTTCGTCCCCGTGATATTAAAAAAAATAAGTAGCATATGTCTTCCAGACTATCCTCTACCTATACCAAATTTGATCAAAATCCTGTCAGCTGTTTAGGCTACAAACGCTAACATACATCCATCCATCTAAACATTCGCATTTATAATATGAGTATGATGAATTTTTTATCATCGTTTTCATGTATAGTACATTCATAAAAAACGGTAATAAAATATTATAGTGCAGTAGTTAAATTGTAGATAAGAAAGTCGTGCTTCGACTATCTAGGATAAAAATATATATAGAAATTACTTGACTATTGTCCGACATTATATAGAGTAATTAAAAATTAATTATTGTAGTTTTTAGGAAGTCGGTAGTTCCATTATAGCTTAATCAGGAATTTAAAAAAACCCTTAACATGTAATAAAACAGTATGTCTATCTGAGACTAGCTCTCGCCCGCGATCTCGTCTGCGGAATATTTAAAAAACAAAAGTATGTAGCCTATGTCTTTATTCAGACTATCCTCTATATCTGTGTCGGGTTTTATCAAGATTTGTTCAGTAGTTTAGAATATAAACTCTAACAAACATCCATCTAAACTTTCGCATTTATAATATTAGTAAGGAGTAAGATTTTTCTTAGTTAGATCGTATTATTTTGATTTTTTGGTCTGTTAATAACCGACTTCCCAAAAAGAGGTACTCAATTCGTCTGTATGTTTTTTTTTATGTAAATCTTACCCATCGGTGGCACGATGTAGAGATGTTCAGCTCTTTGCTGCACCACGGTCTTGAGGAACAGCTCCGGGTTGAACTTGGCGAAGGTGATGAGCTTGCTGCCTCTCGTCATCAGGTTCATCATCACCGCGTTGAAGCCGAAGATGTGGAAGAATGGCAGCACAGCTGGTACTGCACATTGATATGAATCTGGAAATTGAATAAACTCGGTGGATTCGGGTAGCCGCTTTTTTTGTTTTTTTTTCATATTATAAAAAAAATCTTCATCTTTACTAATATAAAAAAGCGTAAACACACACTTCTTTGTTGCCTAAGATGTCAGTAATCACAGCATATTTTCGAATAACTCTTTTTTTAATAAAAAGCCCTACACTTACGTCACGCTTTAGGCTATATATTTTCACGCCGTTAAACTAGGGGTAAATGTTTTGGATGATAATCCTAATGTGGGAAAGAGGCCATAAGTTGTTGCCAACATCAAGAAATCTAGGTTGCCATGGTTTGACATCATGTCATGTAATTTTGACATTTGTAATTGATAATTTGACAAATTTGAACAATAAAGTGATTATTTTATAATTTTATACGGATGAAGTCGCATGTCGCAACTAGTATTTAATAAGGTTTACTCAAAACTGAAAAATCTTTACTTACGTATTATCTATTGAAGTGCTCAGAAAAAATTGTTATAACAAGTTTTTATTCATATATGCACATTACGCAAGACTTATGTATGAAGTTTTTTCTATGGTAATTAAGTTTTTTTCGCTATATGCAATTTGTTTAAAACATTAACGAATATAAATTCCCTTGACTCAAGGTTACTAAAACTTTTTTTATGATTACAGTAAAAGAAAATTGAATGTAAAAATACTAAAATTAGTCTAGACCCTTATACGCCCAGTTTACACTATTCCAATCCAGCGTTTGGTAACAACTGAAATTAAAGATTGGTTTGGAATAATGTAAGCTGGACCTAATTACAAGGGTACTAAATTCACAAGAACAATAAAAGATAACTGTCTCTTTCTAGCAACATGAAAATGGCTCTCGTTTTATAAAAGAGCTAGCTTAGCCCGTGCGGCTTTATCCGCATGAAATTATAGAAACTTTAATTTTTTGTTTACTTATGTCAAATTCTAAATTGCAAATGTCAAAATTATCGCTACCATAATAACTTTGCTTCCTTAATGTTGGCAGCCTGTAGTTTATGGTCCCTTTCCCACATGAAGGTTTTTTCCAATTTAATTATCCCGTAAGTTTAATAGCGTGAAAATAAAGCCTAAAGCGTATCGTAAGTGTAGGGCTTTTTATTAAAGAAAAATTATTCAAACATGCCGTGATTGCTGACATCCTACGCCCACAGAGTAGTGTGTTTACGCTTTATTATGTTAGTTTTCATTTAGATTTCATTCTTACCTGTAGCTTCATCAACGGCGATAATCTCAGGGTTGTTAATCATTTGGTTCATTGCAACCACACTCTGATGAGTTAATACCACAGCCTTCGCAAAACCAGTAGTACCACTCGAGAACGGCAGTATAGCAACATCTTTTTTACTCCTCTGCACTGATTTCAAACAGTCTGTGTCAATTGACATATCTTCAGCGAATTCAGCGAACTTAATAACGTCCTCTGGCAGTCCTTCGTTGTCAATTAATATTACTGCAGGTCTAATTTTCAATTTCTTGATAGCTTCAGCTACGTTAGAATATGATAGTTTTGAGGTAACAATTGCTTTGCATTCGATTAGTTCTAATTGACGGTGTAATTCATCTGTGAAATTAAAATTATACTAATATTATAAATGCGAAAGTATAGATGGATGGATGTTTGTTAGAGTTTGTAGCTTAAACGGCTAACGAATTTCGGCGGAATTTGGCATAGATGTAGAGGATACTTTGGAAGAAAAAATAGGGTAATCAATCTTTTTTTTAATACCACGGGGACAGAGTCGCGGCCGAAAGCTAGTACTTCATATACTATCTAAATTCAATCTAAACTCTAATATTATAAATGCGAAAATGAAAATGGAAGGATGGATGGATGGATGTTTGTTAGAAAGTATTTCAAAAACGCTCAATGGATCACATTGAAATTTGTCAATGTAGGACTTAGCCTGGAAGAACACATAGGCTACTTACTTTTTTAATTCTGTGCGGAGGGTTTCATGGTCAAAAGCTAGTAATCAAATAATACATACGTGTGGTATACGCAGGATTCATCATACTGGCAATACAGCCAGCTTCCAACACTCCTAGCATAGTACAAGGGTATTCCGGAACGTTTGGTAGGATTATAGCCACTGTGTCATCATTCTTAAGTTTCAATTTCGTTCGCAGTGATGCCGCAAATGAGATTGACATCCTGTGTGTTTGAGCATAGGTGTATCCGTGGCCAGTTGCTGCACACACCTAAAATGTATATGTTAAAAAACATCTATTTAGATAAAATAGTTGGTTCATGTATACTAAATATTATGAAATATTAAAAATTTAAACAATAAAACGACCTTAAGATTTCAGATTTTGGTACACTTTTTTTTTAAAAAAAAAAACAACATAAACTACTGGATAATATACCATTTTCATTGTCATTAGATTTGTCTGATTTAACCGTTTTTTTTAATAATTAAAAAATATACCTGATCAAGCAAAAATAATTTATCTTTTTTACAATTAACTTCAGTTACCTAGTAATTTTATAATTATATCAGAAATGTTCTTTAACCATAACAATGTAATCGCTTTATTTTTTATGTACATAAAGCAAATTATTTATGCAAGAGAACAATGGACTGGGTATTTAAAATAATCGCAGTAAATAAATGGTTGACGTTTTTCAGTTGCGTTCCATATTTTTATAGTAAGAAATTCGTTTAATAAGGACCATTTAAATCACTTGATGAAAATAAGCCCAATGTTTTGACAACTAAGGTACAGTGTCCAAAAAAGTACACAACATAAAGTAACAAGAAAACTAAAGAATGAATTGTAATTTTTTTGCCTGTTTATTCCAAAGGTGACTTTAGAGATTTTAGCAATAAAGACCTGCATACAATTTCTTCAAAAAAAAAAAAGATTTTTTTTTTAATTTAACCACTAGCTGTTGCCAGCGACTTCGTTCGGGTGATAATTAAAAATATAGCCTATGTTAGTCATTGATAACATACCTTTTAATGGTGTAAGAATTTTAAAAATTAGCCCAGTAGTTTGAGTTAAAGTAACTCGAAAACTACTGGGCTAATACAGAAAAAATGCACATCTTTCCTCTTTATAATATTGGTTTAGATATATGTGCCCAAGGTTATTATTCCTGTTAAGAGATTCAAATTCTTCACATGTATTAAGAACTAAAGTGCATTACATACATAGATATTTACCTATAACATTGTTATCAGATATTATGAAACATAAACTTGAACTAATTAAAACATTACTATCTTATCTGATTTGATATTGCATTTAATTGTTACTAGCTGTTACTCGCGACTTTGCCCACTTAATATTAAATAATAATATAGCCTATTCACAGATGAATTATCTTTCTAATGGTGAAAGAATTTTGGAAATCAGCCCAGTATGTGAATCAAATACATACAAAAATCTAAAAATACAAATGTTTTCTTTATATAATATTACACAAATAAATCACCTTTCTAATTGTAAAAGGATTTTTGAAAATTTGCATAGTTTTAATGAGAATTTAATACATACAAAAATACAAATCATTTCTCTTTATATTAGTATAGATAGACATTACAATACATTTAGATAGTTTATGTATAAAAACACATACCTTAACTTATAGTAATTTTGTTTAAAAAGTGTATGAAATATAATCTATAAATCTCATAGCAATATGGTTGACATGTGGCAAATACAGTTGCGCCAGCCAGGTATAGATTGTATGAACTTACTGGCACCAGTAAGTGCTACAGACCAAGAGTACTGGCCAGTGTTAACCATATAATAATGTTGATTTTAAACAGTGGTATTTTTAAAAAAGTTACTGTGAAATTACTTTCAATAATCATTTTACATTTATTTCTTTATCTACATAATTGTTTTAAAATAATTGAATATTAATTGGCAACTTAAATTTTATCACTATAGTTTTGGCAAACAAAAAAATTATGTTTTAAAAGATACAGGAAAAATGTATACACTTGGAATTAATTTGCATAATAAAAATAACTCACCGCAGCAGTCTTATCCGGCCAGCGATCCAAGTTTTGCCAAATGTAGTCATTTATTGTACTATTAATTGGTACTATATCTTCATAAACAGACTTCAAAATATTAGGTTCATTTTTCACACTACTCAATTTTATACTTTGAGTTAGTAAGACTTGCATTTGTTTCTTTAATTGTAACCCCCTTTGTTTAAGAACACTGGCCATTTTGATTAATTAAACTATAAAGCAAAAAACCTTTTTTTTAGAAATTGATTAGAAGAATATTTCAAAACTCATATTAAATTTGGTGTGACTAAAATATGATTAACTAAAAAAAACTAACACAAATACGTTATAATTAATAGAAGATACTTAATATTTAAAAATCGTAAACGTACCTTTTCGTTCTAAAGCCAATAACAAAATGCGAGGGAATGCCTCAGCAAATGAAGCCAACAAGTTATCAAATTAGACTTTGAACTTCGTTTCATTTAATGATTTCGAATGTGTGTTCACTGGGTGAATTGTAAAATCCTTGAACGGCACAGCATAATGTGTTTGGAACCGCTTTCACAACTAGTGTTTCCATGAAGAACGTAAATACAATAAACAACATTCGTATTTCTTACTCGTATATCTCATTTAATTCAATAAAAAAGAAAGAGAAAAAAATCAAATAAAGCGTACAGAAAAAAAATCAAAACAAATGCCAATGCCAAACAACACAACATCAAATGACACTTGACATATTGCGGGACTCGATGTGTCTCGATTTTTAACAAAATCGATTCTTACGTTAAAATGAAATAAAAAATACCTATAACTTTTAATGATGAGATTGATAATTTAATGGCTTTTTTTTATTCTGTTACCGGTTACAAGAATTCGCTTTCCGTGTTAATTACTCGTTTACTCCAAAAATTATAAGATTGTTTTTGAAATTCTGCCATTTAATTTGACTAGGCGCCGATCGAACTTTTTGTCTCTTTTTACTTTTACTTTTATGATCATATGTTACGTCTTACAAATCCTTTTGTATCTAAATCTTTGATTTATGAAGCATACTTAGACTGAGCTTAATAAACAAAAAGCGTTGGATTATTTGTCTGCAAGTAAATTCTTAAACCAGAAGGTATTTAAATTCAAATCCTAAGATTACGCATGTGAGTTAAAACTAAGCAAAGTATGAGCAAAGTAGAAGTGCGCTATATAAATTTAGCTTTAGATGACATCTTACATTTTTTTTAATTGATCTACGAGTAGCATAGACAGTTTTAAAAGGATAATGAAATAAATCAAGTCCAAACATCTTAAAAACTATTTATTTATTGTAATAATGACTGTGAGAGATTGAGTTAACACTATAATGTCATAAGTTAATATTGTCTACACCCTAAATGGTAACCTAATTAAGCAGAAATCTAACATTTAGTACAATGAACACTACCGCTTTAAAGCTACCAAGTGTGGAGTCTTGTCCGTTGGTAAAGAAATCGCTGTAGTCGTCGCCCTTTTCTTGGACACTTCTATGAGCAATAGCATTATCAGATTTAGCCTCATCGGATGCCATTTCTTTTGTTTCCTCTGTATGTTTTTCAATTGGTTTTGCAGATACGGTGGCCAGTCTAGTCGTGGTAGTATTTGGTTTATCATCTTTAATTTCTTGGTTAGCCACTTCACTGCTAATAGTTTTAGGCGCCGCTAATGATTTTTTAGTTTTATTCTTCTTGAAAATTGATTCATCAAAGTAACCTGGATTATTTGGGGTGTCGCCTTCAGTATCAAGAGGTGAAAAACCGGTTGCTATATCAGACTTTTTCGCCATATCAAGGGAGTCATCGACTGGATTGCTAGAAGGTGAATAGCAATGCAACAAGTCTCTCACATCAGTATAAAAGAGTTTTCCATTCAATTCAGCGTCATCGTAATATTCGTAGTCTTGGCTTTGTGTGGATGGTTCTTCGCCGTCGAATGTTTGTGAATTTTTTTCCAATTCCATTCGTTTCGTCCACCGGTCACGTAGCTTGGCGTCGGGAATGCATTTGAAGTTTTCTAACTTTAATTTTAAAGATGCGCTTTCAGTTTTGTTCATGAGCACCATGAGCCATTCCAGACGGCAGTCGCACGGGAATAGGTTATCTAGGAACAAAAAAAATCATGTAATCGAGTTCAAAAATATGGCATTTAAAAAGTGTTACATTATGAAAAAGGGAAACAATTACATTTTCAATTTACACAGAGACCTTACTGATATTATAAATGCGAAAATTTAGATGATGGATAAACTCTAGTTTGCCATCTAAACGGTTGAACGGATCTCGATGAAATTTGGCATAAATGTAGATCAAATTCTGGAGTCTAATTCAACGCGGACTGAGACGTGGGCGAAAGCTAGTAAACACATAAAGTTATACCTTCAACATCCAAAGAAGCGACGTTTAGATAAAAATTGTCGATTACTGGCGCCATGACTTCTTGACGTAAATCCGCAATTCTGTTTCCTTTCAAACTTAGAGCGGTCAATGAAGTCAGTCCTTGGAATACATTCACGTTATCAATGTCAGAAAGTTCGTTGTGAGCCAAAGATAGTGATTGTAGTTTGGCCAATCCGTGGAATGCTTTGGAATCGAGCATTTGAATTTTATTTTCATCTAAATTCAAAGATATCAGATGAATTAAAGGCTTGAATGTATTATCGCCGATAACTTCCAAGCTATTTCCACTTAGGTCTAATTTTCTTAATTTTCCAAGGCCAGAAAACGTTTCACTGTTCAAGCTGAACAGTTTGTTTCGATCGATCTCTAGTTCCTTAAGATTCGTCAGATGTATAAAAGCTTTGTCGTGGATAATTGTTACTTTATTATTGGTTATAAATAATTTTTCTAAAGTGGGCAGACTGACAAACACATCTCTGTTTATTTCCATTATATTATTTGTATCCAAACTGATTGTTTTCAACGTTGCGAGATGCGAGAAAGCATTGGGTTTTAATTTTTCTATTTGGTTACCACTCAGCTTGATATCTTCTAGTAAACTAAGATTAGCGAATGCAAACGGTTCTATAACTTTAACGTTAGCGTATTTAACATCAAGCCTTAAAAGATTATGCGCATGTTTTAACGCATTCTTTGGAATTATCTTGAAAGATATACCTCTAGTATTAGTTAAACTAATTCTAACTGCATCTTTTAAGGAATCAAACTTGGACCACGCTGGGTCATCTTGGCTTATCTCTTCAATAGTCGGATAACATTCAGCACTTCGTGCAATATTATGATCGTCTTTGGCACAAAAGCATTGAACAGCTCCGGAGGTATTAAACACAGGATCGCAAATACTGGATATCACTTCATTATTCTCACCAACTTCGTTTATATTAGGCTTTGCTTCAGCCAAGAGTAGGAGGCAACAGGTCAATGTGATAACCTTCCAAGCCATCATGGTGTTTATTTCCCACCTAGAAATGAACAAAATATTGGATCATTAACAAACATTAAAACATGAAAGATGGAATAAGAACATACGAAAAAGTAACCTTAAACATAGTGAATTTGTTATGCCTATAGCAGCTTGAACGATTTATATCAGATTTTAAAAGCCATTTTATAAATTGTTCGACTGTATAATCTGATTTAACCATTGCTATTGGAAGTGCAATTCGCTTATTCCACCTTTACACAGATTAATTCGCAATTTTACGAATAAAAACAATTGCTGGTATAAAATGGTCAGGATTTTTATTTAGTGGATCCTCTGCATATAATCCTGTTATGATTTGGAGATTATAAATTTAATGAAGAGCGATTTATTTTTTATCGCTTTTCACTTAGTAGGAGAGGATACAAGCCTTTTTATTGAAAAAATATCAAACAAAGATCCCGAGTAAACAAATTCTTGTCTATATGTTATTCTTTGATAATAGTTAATCTACACATAATGTATTCAATATTATTATAATCTTTATTCTACGTTCCTGTCCAGTATAAATAAAAGCAACACAAACTTTTGCTTTCACACAAAAGATGGACCACATTGAAATTTTACGCAAATGATTTTGAGATAATTTTGTTTTGTAATTTAATGTTGTACTGTTCATGTTTTCCGTTCTTTTACAACATTTTCAAATCCACCTTTTATTTTAATTGACTTTCATTTGTTTATAATGTTTAGATCCTGATTTGAAACAGAGTACAAAATTAGTGTAAGGAAATAACAATTCAGTCTTTGAATCACGAGTCAATTTTGTTCTTATTTTAACAATTACAGAATAAAGTTATTCACAAGAATTTACAAAGATAACGTTCGTGGGTAGTGACTAGCTAATATGACATCATACGGTCGTTCATTCATTTATAATTATAACAAAGAAATCGTTTTAGACCGCAATATATTTGTCTTGTTCCCGTTCTCGGTAAACGCATTAAGATAATGCTGTTTACACACCGACGTTGAATTTGTAACGTTACTAATTTTGATACGTGACATAATATCTATACCTACATAAAATAAAATTGGAGTTTCTGTTTGTGAAATCAAAAGAAAATTCCACATTTCTGGACGATGATGTAATTGCGTTACTGATAACAAAAATTACATTTAGAAAATTTTTGTTTGCCTGTCAGCCTCTCTGTATGTCCGCAAGCCGCGTTTGTTCCGGGTAATCTCTGAAACGGCTGGACCGATTTCGATCGGAATTTTACTGGAGGGTAACTGACATAGACGGGCAAATTATAGGCTATTTTTTTTAATTCTGCGCTGTCAAAATGGCGTAACTGGCGGTCCTGGCGCTAACGAAGTTTGCGGGCGACAGCTCGTTCTAAAATAAAACAACACCTCTCACTAATCGTTTACATAAACCTGATGATGTCAGGACATCCCTCATACCCGCCCTCTGGTGGCACCCATGGTTTTATTTAATATTCTATTTAAATTATAGCATGGATGTGGACAACAATCCTTATTGAACTATATCGGTCACTAAACGGAGGCGTAGGATGTAGTTTACATTGAAAGATAGATTTCGTTGTACCGATTAGAATGAAATTAAAAGGATACCAGTTAATAGTTACAAGGGATCTAACAAGCTGTTAGATATTTCGACACAAATGACTTCCTTTCACATATAGATGTACGGCCATACTAACAATACTTGCAAATGACTTTAAAACAAACAAACTGAACTCCAAGGTGACAATGTAAAGATATCGAACGCTCCGTAAAATACAGAGCTGGTTGGCGACTGAGGGCTGAGACTACGACTGAGCGCCTGAGCCACTCCTTGCCAAATATTTTATAAAACTATCCCTACTATTACTTACGTTTCCTATTATTTTCCTAACAGCATTGTTTTAAATAAATAAAGATAAAGAGTATTGATAAATAGCACAGATTAACAAATAACTTTTAAGAATACAGGATATATCAAAAGTTAAAAAGCTAACCGCGTATTTATAAGCAAACTCCTTATACAACAAGTGACATTACCATCTCCGTTATACCAACTGGCATTTTGGCAAAAAATAACGACAAACACGAAACCATCTGGCACAAGTAATAAACCGTATTAATAGGCGTCGAGTGCCTCATTTTCTGAACTATTTTTTTTCTTTTATACAGAAATTAGGCCGTGAATAACACCTGTGAACTCATCGCAATGATCTGAATAATCGTTTTATTTCATCTACAATGATTTAATGGAACGTTAATATTCTTTAATGTATCAAAAGTAATAAATTTTAAGGAAATGAATGTTAAATATCTTGCGGACAGCTTATGACATGTTGAGGAACAATGTAAACAGTGACGAGACATGTTGGAGGTTTAATAGTTTAGAATTCGATACGATGAATATCAAAAGTTGCTGCAAGATTTTGCAAGTTTAGTAATCTTATCTATACATATAAAAATGGAGTGCCTGTTTGGTTATTTCATAAAAATAAATCCAGATTTCGGGAAGATGATTTGTTTGCGTTGCTGATAACGAAAATTACTTTTTTTCTGTCTGTCTGTCCACAAGCCGCGTTTGTTCCGGGCAATATCCGAAACAGCTTGGCTGAGTACGACCGGACTTCCATTAAAGAGTAGCTGACATAGACGGGCATATTATAGGCTACTTTCTTAATATTGGCTGGACGAAGTCGCGGGCAACAGCAATTATTTCTATAAGAATAGAATTATCAGTGAATCAATGAGTTTTTCAGTCGTGATCACTGTCAATACATTGGCGCGACTTTCCATGGGCGTTATCAGATGACGTAGGATTATTAATTTTTTACAAACTATAAGGTTACTGTATGTACTCTAATCTTTTCACCAGCAGTTTAAGTTACACTCGTTTGAAATATCGTCGCAATTATTTAAATAAAAATGGCGGATCGTCTGATACAAGATTCATCCAATTACAAAACAGTTTTCTTAGTCTCAAGAATTGGGTTATTCAAATGCTCTTGGCTGTTTAAATGCATAGCTACGTCGACGGGCGACCGGTGATTGATGTAGGGAAGTAGATCTGTTTGCTTTTGTACACGATCTTACGCATTACGAATTTTTAGTAGGTCGAGATTTTCCTTACAAATATTGCATGTTTTTCTTCGTTCCTCCCAAACTTAAGTGTATTTGCGAAGGCTTATTTGTTCACTTAATATAACAGTTTTTACCGTTTTATACAAAGGCCTTTATACACAAAAGTAATTAATTTTTAGTGAAGGATACCCTGTAGTTAATTTTTTTATATAGTATTGACAAACGAGCAAGCGCCCACCGCAATTTGCTAAGATGGCGAAGCGACCACTGCCCACAGACATCTACATTTGCAGATGTCTTTAATCAACAAAGAAGGGGACGTACAGAAAGAAGATATTTCCCAAACCTATGTGTCCCATCCCTAGATAAATCAACTTCCCCTTCCCATCATGTAAAATATCCGTGTAAAATAAAGGAGGACAGAATTTTACTTATTCGCTTGTCATCACATTTTTGACCGACTTCCTAAAAGAAGGAGGTACTCAATTCGTCTGTATGTTTTTTTTTATTTGTTGTATGCTTACCTTAATATTTAACAATATATATGCTCAGTAGTTAGTGTCTGATATTTAGTCTCAATAAACCTGAAATGAAATAAGAAAATTATTAAAATATAAATTTACAGCACTTTTTAATCTATTAAACAAATAAAGTAAAATAAACTTTATTACATTATTTATAGTGTTTTGTACTTTAAAGATAACAATTTAACAAGAACGTTCTAAAAATAACTGCGTATTATATTTGAATCTATTTGTTTACTAACAATAAATTAGTTTTCAATATTCAGAAGGAAACTTTTCCAATTGGAACTCAGTCAATTTCCAAATAATCCATATTGTAATAAAATCATATTTTCACTTCAAAATAATCTTTCTGAATTACTTTTATCGTACATACTAGCGTTAAAAGATATTTTAATAAAAATTGTAGTAATAAACATTATAGTGTGTCTAAATAATTTAGATTAGTTTGACAATTCATTTCAAATTTAGTAGGGATGGGTTGTGTAAAATCAGTCATGAATCTTATCGATTTTCGATTTTTATTCTTATAGAAGTTGGAATCGATAGTTTTATAGTTATAACTTAGGAATTAAAAAAAAAACTGTTTTCTCAAATGAATAATGACCATAACAAATCATGACAATAAGTAAATGTTTATTACTACTACAGCCGTACGTAATCGAATTGAATTTGGTTTTATTTCTGTCATAGCTAAATTCTCTACACTATAATCAATACTAGAATTGTCATATAAATTAGTTGATAAGAAAATAATAATTTTTAGTTGAGTTCGATAATTATTTAAACCGAATATCGATAGTTCAAAATTGTTCGCTATGCGTGTTTGTTTCGTCACTACGATACCTGTCTATTAAGTGTGGCATTTGCCTTCATAGAAATTGAATTCGATACTTCATATGCGTCATTTATCGAACGAATCTTTTTTATTTAGAAAAACTATAAATTAAGACCAATCTTCTTTTTTATCGATATATAGAAAATAGTTTTCAATTAAACATTATGGTTTAATTAGGTATGAAAAAAATGTTTATTGTCCCCTATGCGTTCTTAAACCTCTAATTCAATAGAAGAGTAGTATCCCAGAAGAAACTTAATCTATACATAGTAAAGATAATTTAACTGTATTGTAAGCAAAACCAACCAACCCGCACTTGGCCAGCGTGGTTGACTATGGCCTAGTCACCCCTTATCATGGTAGGCTCCGAGCCCCTCGGTGGGGACGTATAGTGAGCTGGTGATGATGATGAAGCAAAACTATATTAGATCACGCCATTGAATTGCATGTTTTTTTTTTAATATCTAAGTTTTTTCCAATTAAATTAAGATAATGTAAAAAAATATATTTTCAAGTCTGGAACACATCTAAGAAAAGATTTATTCACGTTTTATAACACCACATCCTATCGTAACGTAACAACTGAATTTTACGGTATTTCTGTTCCCAGTTATGTCTATGTGAATTTAACACAAGCACACTAATTCAGCTGACATTTCGTCGTAACAACCATGACCCCATTAACTGTCGCTAAACAACGAAATTCCATTTGTTTTACCGCAAAGGTCGCATTGTGGGAGAAAAGAGCTTTCTTAATTGTAGTATTGTGTTAAGAGCATAAAAATTTGTCACCGGTCGATTGTTAACTTTGCTAATTTATAAACGGACTAGAAAAATAAAGTATAATTTTAGCTAAATGTGAACTGTTAGCTTTTTAACTATTTTGATGTATTCTGTATTCTTGAAGGTTATTTAGTCTGTGCTATAAATCAATGCATTTGGTCATAGTTTGAAATAACGATATAACTTTGTAATGGTTATCCAAAATATTATTTAAAATATTTATGTCATGGTTTTAAAATGTTGTAATTGTGCTTGTTATGTTAATAATCCAATAGTAGTCCGATGTCAAAAATAAGGGTGTTGCATTAGCTCGACGAGACGACGGCCATATTGGTAAGGTATTCTGTGCAAATTGGAAGAAAACATAAGAGGTAATGAAGACTATATTTTATTAAAGCATAACATGGCTGTGACGCCCATAGAACGAAACAAGCACATGGTATTTTGTTATACGCAACAAATCTATTTAAATACCCTACTGATTCAGGAAGGTTACATTTTTTACACGTTCTATAAATACATTTACTACATTTACTAAGACTTCACGCCAACAGCATATCTACATATGTTTGTAAAGTATGTATGTATGTAAGTGTTATGAAACTTATGAATGAACAGACTTATGAAAAGACGAGTATACAAATGACTTTTGGGATCGTCAAGTTAATTTGAAACACCTTAATAATTAATCTTCAACCTTTAATGAAACCCTTTATCATATTCAGTAGGTAGATATATATCTGATTGTACGTCGTAGGCATTGGTAGTCTGAGCCGAGGAGATAATTACATCAAACTGTCAATTAAGGGTTCGCTCTCGAGCCGGAAATCCAATCATTTCAAAGCGCAGCTTTGATGTGTTATTGACATTTATGTGATATACATACATTAGAATAGGTTTGGTAAATCATACTTCATACTAACATTATAATTGCGAAAGTTTAGATGAATAGATGGATGTTTGTTAGAGTTTGTAGCCTAAACGGCTGAGCGGATATCGATGAAATTTAGTACAGATGTAGTAGTCTGAAAGAACACATAGGCTACTACTTGTGTGTATTTTAATTCCACGCGAACGGAATCGCAGGCGATAGCTAGTTGTATTATAACCACAAATGTCAACAAATAGACTCATAGTACCACTTATTTTAGCCTATCTAATTATAGAGGTTAGTGAATAAACCCTATTACTTCTTGTTTATTGTATCGGTAAGGGTTTAAACCATCTGCTAATGAGAACACAAAACAGATATAACCATTAATAAAGCAGTAGTAACAAAATGTTTGTCTCTTCATACATTTTTTGTTCGCAAAAATTAAGATGCAAACATAACATACCGAAATTTAAGTTTCTTTCCAATCTTTCTGTAATGATGTTAGAAATAATAAAAAAATAGACACCGTTATACGAAAATATCATTCTTATGTAAAATCTACGTTTTCAGCAATTAAATTTAATTACGTAAAACGATATCAAAGGAATGTGATATAATATTATATTTCTACATGTATAAACGAATTCAAAGCTAACATTTTATACAGAATGGAGTGAGTTTAGGTGATTGGATATCTTTTGATTTGAGAGTAAATATACGCTTATTGATTTTTTACAATTACGCAAGTAAACATGAACCATGAAAGAAAAATGAATTGGTTTGTTATGTCTATATTAAATTCATTAAATAATGAAGACGGGCTTGGTTACCCGTGTGTCGTTGAGGCGGTTGACTCGTATTTATAAATAACTAGCTGTTCGCGTGTGGCTTCATCCACATGAAATTATGAAAATTTTATTTTATTGTTTACATTTGTCAAATGTCAAAATAACATGACATGATGACAAACTATGATAATCTTACTTACTTGATGTTGGCAGCTTGTAGTTTATGTTCCGTTTTCATTTTGCCTTTTATCTAATTTATTTACTCCCTAAGTTTAATAGGCTTTTTACCAAAGAAATAATTTTCCAAAAATATGCTGTGATTGCTGACATCTTACGCCACAAAGGAGTGTGTGTTTACGCTTTATTATATAAGTATAGAAGTATAGATTGAATACTGTTATCACTTCGGCTCGAATTATAATTTAAGATAAAATAAATTACTTATGAAAGCAACGTAAAAAGAACCTAATTTGGTTTTCTATGTTTTGACGGCTTTTGCGACCCCATTCATTTCCGGGTGTCTAAAGAATGTAGATTTACTACCTAAATTATTTTAACTAACACTTCCTAGAAAAAAATGTAATCACTTTTTAATCATTAATCTCTTTATCGCGCTTTATCAAAGCATACTCATATTTTCTAGGCCAATCTCTTTTCAGGCAGACTTTTCCCTTATACGTATACGAAAAGGAGGAATTTTTATTAAAGATAAAAGAGAACATCTTTTGAACACGACTCAATTTCTAAGAGGATATCCATTTAAAATACAATCAGTTGTAAAAACTTTAGAATGTAATTCCAACTATAATTGGAATTTGCTCATCCATTGATTCAAACAGTTCAACTTTCTTTGGAAGGAAATACTTTTTATTAAAAAGTTTTTTCTAAAACATCTTCTCCATTTGTGAATAAAATCATATTAAAAATCAGTTCAAGTATGACTTAAACTAGTTAAATACATCTCTTTGTACAAAAAATTGCATTTAATTTGAGAAACATTTTAATTGTTTTAATAATATTAACTGAATATGCAAAAACATCTGAACAGAAAATATTAGTCACGTAAAGTCTCCAAGTTCTATTATGAAGAGCTTTCACTTTAAGCTCCTTAACTTTGTAGTATTTATGTAGCAGGTACATATGGACAAGTTCGAAAGCTTAGGTTATTATACATTTTGCACCTGGTCGGCAATGACAGTAAGCTTACGGAAGCACAGTAAAGCTCCGAAGTGAACGTTAATTAGAACCTTGTCTATTTTGAAGGTAGTTGCAGTTATAGTTCCAAACCATTATTTTCTACTACAAAATTTATTAAAAAAGAAATTGCAAAAGAAATATTTCATTATAATTCACACGTTAAAGGTTTTAGCATACTATCTCGAAAACGAAATGGAGCCGAGGCGAACCTAAATTTGACAGAAATCTAGCGTGGATTTCGGTGGAGAGAATTATTCAGCAACTAGGCTACTAGTTTGAAACCAAATGTAATATTGGGGAAGCTTCAGGTTTAATTTTCATTTTCATGTAACATGTATTTTAACTGTAAAAATGTAAGTAGCATCATGAAACAGCTTTAAAGTATTTTTACCAACAAAAGTCCTTTTAAAAGTTTCCAGAGAATAGTGGAATTGAAGCTTTGAACTCTTCGACTCCAATTACAGGACTTTGACGGTTCCTATTCATTTACAATTTTGTTTGAAAGCTCTTGTGATCTGTTTCCCATCGGAAACTAAGTTCTTAGAACTTTTATCCTTTCTACAGTTACACTTAAATTAGA